AGAAGGCTGAAAATATACAGTTACATATTTGGGGAATGGGTTACGAATTACAAATAATATACAAGTGACATAAGTGACACAAATAAGACATATAGTAACTTAGATGGGGATCAGCTCAAAATACAGTTCATTTCAACATAGTGACAGTGTAGGGAGCAGTGTTTACTGGGAGTGAATACACTGATTTATTACATGTTATTGATAATTTTTACAATGGTTGGGACTGGGCTGTCTATAGCGATCTGGGGCCTGTGCACGGGCTGGATGCGGTTATTGTGGTGTCGAACAGCAATTCTCGGACAGGGATCTCTCAGGTAGAGGGCCGGAAAGTCAGATGGTGTAGAAGCTTCTACCAAATTTGCAGATGAGGCCGTGGGTGATGGTCAGTGAGAGTCGAAAGGGTCAGTGTGTTGAGCGCTTCGATATGTGAGCAGGAAGGGGAGAGAATAATCTTGCATGCCCTCTTTTGCACTTTTTTTCTAGGTGCTTACGTTGTGTGGCATTTAGGGAGGAAGACCAGGGTGGGGAGGCATAGGTGAGCTTGGGAAGTATGAATGTTGTGTAACACTGAGGAGCTCGGGTGCAGGAACTCCGAGGGACTTGAGTCGGCGGAGGAGGTGGAGACGGAAACTGGAGGATTTGGCAACTTCACTGACGTGTGGTTTCCAATTTAGTTTGTTGTCTATGGTGACGCCGAGGAGCTTCGTGGAATCTACAACCTGGAGTGTGTTCGGACCTAGGGTAATGGAAGGAGGTGGGACAATGTCGGAGGAGAGGTTGATGTGCATAACCATTGTCTTGGTATGGTTGATGGTGACATGGTTGTTGGTGGCCCAGTTTTGGAGACTGTTCAATAAATCCTGAAGGGCGGTATAGTTGGGAGCGGAATTGTTGACGCTGATCCCAATGGTGGAGTCGGCGACATATTTCCAGCGAGCAGGGCTTCTCTTAGGCATCATTGATGAGCATAAGGAAGGTGTGTGTGTGTGTGTGTGTGTGTGTGTGTATGTGTGTGTTTTCTACTTCAGACATTTTATAATATTATGTGAGTCAATTGGGCAAATATTAATAACACCAATAATGTTACAATATAAACACGGTAACATTGTTGAAAACGGAATGCCGTTCTGCTAGAAGACTGTTTGAGAGCTTTATGGGTTAGAATACCGTAAGACACCCATATTCATACTTAAATAGGGCGGCAAACCTCAGGTTTGCCGGAGTCGCAGAAAAAGCCACTGGAACTGGGAGTTATCCGAACGCAAAATTTCACGCCTGCTGAATGACCATTTTAACCTTCCTGAATTACGGTTTGACCGTGTTCAACGCGTCGGGAAACCCAACTCCTCCCGCCCCAGCGACATCATCACAAAATTCTTATCCCCCTCTGACCGTGACAATGTGTTTTATCAACGCAGTGAGCTGAAAGGCACCACTATCTTCGTCAACGAGGATCTCTGCCCAGGTACGACTAAAGCCCGCCTACAGCAAATGGACCAGTTTGAAGAAGCCAGGACATAAGGGAAACACGTGACTTTCAGTCATAAAACCCTTGTTGTGAGGGATCGGGCAAGTGGACACCCGTCCACTCACCAACTCGCTGTACCAACCCCCTCCCCACTGAGGGGGAAACAGCCATTGTTGCTATCACCTGTTGAGTTCCCCCCCTCCCCATGCAGGCCAATTCGAGTGCTACACGTCTACCTTCTGTGGTGGAAACCAGCAACCCTCAAAACCAAGTGACAGGCGCCCCTCCCACTCAATCTTGGAATCACCCTCAACAGTACCGGTCATCTTAATTTTGTTGCTTGTAGCACTTGTGAGTAAGTTACCCTTCCACTATTATAATTTTCTTAGATCTTCCCTTTTCACACCTCAGTGACCCTGAGTTTTTACTGTTCCTTTATCAGTATCAATGTTCCTTCAATGATGATGCTAGTGTCATTCCCTTAGATAACAATAAAAATAATAATAATAATAATAATAATATACGGCTTATTAATAGAGTTGCAGCCTGTGGCTGAAAATATAAAAACTTACATTTTATTTAGACATAATGATATGCGTTCAATACATTTACAGGGCTGTACCGTACATAAATCAGGAGTTGTTTATTATTATAACAATAGATGTTATTCTTATATCTATCGGTGCAGGCTCTTATGGACTGAATTTTGTTGCAGTGTTGGACTGCGCAAGGTGGGTGGGGGGCTGCCGGTGGCAGGAGGTGGCGATGACGAGGATGGTGCAGTCGTCCACTGCCAAACCTTGCTAGTGCTTGGTGGTGGAGGTCACTAATGGATGGTATTTCCAGGGTGGAGAGAGCGTTGATGTAGCTGGAGTAGTCTTCACCGAGCATGATTCTCCAGGCCCTTTTCTGTACCTTCTCTAGCCGACGTTGTTGGGTGGACTTGAGAGAAGACGACCAGGCTGGTGACGCATACGATAGTTTGGGGAGAATAAATGCGTTCTAGATAGTCCTCAGCTCTGGCGTGGGTATCCCAAGTGACCTAAGTCGTCGTAGCATGTAGAGTCGGTACGAGGCTGCCTTGATTCTGTTGTTTACATGGGCCTTCCAGTCCAGTTTGTCGTCAATGTGCTAGATCGTATGTGTTACACCCCCTTTACCCATGGTGTCGACACAATACTCCCTCATATCGATCCTGATGCCTTTCTACAAAACTCACTGGGTTACACCAACCCCAGCTGTAACTATTACTCTCCTGACTCTCCTGGGTTTAGTTGTAGTCTTCTACTACCTCATTCCTTCTCCTTGATTAGCCATAACATCAGAAGTATTCCCCTTCATCTAGATACCTTTTTAGATCAGTGCATATCTTCTATTCCCTAAAAATTTGATGTACTTTGGTTCTGTGAGACCAAACTCACTAACGATATTGGACATTTGTATAACATTCCTAATTATAATAGACACTGCGTCAACACGTCACGAGACAGTAGTGGTGTCGCCCTATATGTTGATATCAAGTATAACACTTCTGTAAGAGATGATTTAAAGGTTCAGGAGGAGTACATGGAGAGTGTTTTCACTGAATTATGTAACGAGACACGAAATATCCTAGTAGGAGTAATCTACAGAAGACCCCCATACTAATGTAAGAAATTTTCTTGATAAATTTTCGGAGTTTATCTCTATCATATGTCCAGAGAGGAAACTTTGCTACATTATAGGATATTTCAACCTTGATCTGTTAGAATTAGAAGAGACACCTCAGTATTAGACCTTCTTGCTACCTGTCATTCTAAGCTCTTCCTCAACACTATAATCAAACCCACTAGAGCAGTGGTTCTCAAACTCGGGGTAATTACCCCAACTGGGGTAAAAACTACATTTTGTCTGGGGTAATATGCTTCTGTTGGCACGGTGGGGTAACCTCGTATTTAACACTTATAACACTTACGTTTGCCGCGTTTGGCAACTCGTGAAGTATTCGCTTCACTATAGATTAAGTCTATAACAGCACTGTAACTGTAGCACTATTATTGATTTTTGTATAAGACAGACTAGAATTGTACACTTGTGTTTTGTATAATACACTTTATTGGAGGAGTAAAATTTGTAAGTACATTTGTAAGCTTGTGTTTTGTATATTAAACTTTATTGAATAGAATTAAGGAGTAAAATTTATAAGTACATTAATTTTATAAACTTGTGCTTTGTATAATAAACTTTATTGAATAAAAAGTAAGGAGTAAAATTTACGTTGGGGTAATTCGAACCTGTCAGACTCTGGAAAAAAGTTTAAGAACCACTGCACTAGACCATGACGTGGCACCACTGACATGATTTTTGCTGCCCGTCAGATACTGGAAAAGTGCAGAGAACAGCATCGTGACTTGTACATGGCCTTCATCAACCTTACCAAGGCCTTCGACTCGGTCAACAGGAAAGTCCTCTGGTGGACCCTCAGCCGTTTTGGCTGTCCACCAAAATTCAATGCCATTGTGAGGCAACTCTACGATGGCATAAACGGCAGTGTCCTGCACAATGGCACCCAGTCTGAGTTATTCCACATCCAAACGGGGGTAAAACAAAGATGTGTACTGACACCAACTCTCTTTTCTATTTTCTTGGTTGCCTTCCTTACTCGTGCCAGTGCCAATTTAGCCGGCGGGGTGAACATAGAGTACCGGATGAAGGGACTTTTCAACATAATACACCTCCTGGCAGGAGCAAAGGTGTCGGAAGCTTCCATTTATGAAGTGCAGTATGCAGACGATCTCACCCTCGTCGCGGCCTACAGGAAATCCTGAACACCTATGCACATGCGTATGCACATGTCGGCCTTGAGGTGAATGTATGTAAGACTCAGATTCTCTTTCAATCTGCACCTAATTCAACCACATCTCCACCATTCATCCAGCTTAACGGTACTACCCTCTCTAATGTTACCCACTTTCAGTATCTCGGCTCCCACCTGTCCACCACCGCGGACATCGATGAAGAGATTCAACATCGGATCAGATGTGCATCTCAAGCCTTTGGCAGACTCTGTACCCGTGTCTTCAGCTGTAGGGAGCTGAAATTATCCACAAAGTTACACGTATACCGAGGCCGTAGTACACAGTGGGTTGTGTATATAACTATTACCAAACAGGAGAATATATTAGTATGTCATATGAATCAGACACAAAGGTATTAAATTCATTGATACACAGTCACGTAATTTTTTTTCAAATAATTTTTATTATTTTACAAGTATTTTATATCATTCGAAGACTACCACTTTTAGAAACAGGTAATTTCAGATAATTATGTGAAAGTTAGGCAAAAAATATGTCAGCTGTTACAAGAAGTGTGACACAGATGTTAGTAATGTGTTTAGGAACATATTATACTACTGGGGTGAGATAGAAGGTAAAATATGACAAACATTAGTTTGTGTGAATTACTTTTTACTCGTTGTCAGTGTGCCATACCTCCTTTTACCCATCTTACTTACATAATGTCACTTCTTTCGGTAAGAGAAACAACAATAAAAATTGTATTCATAATTTATTGAGACGAGTCCTGGTGGCCTCCCTAACTCATCTGTGAAAGACACAAACAAGCAATTAGAGGAAGAGAAGCTAATATTATTCTTATGGTCTGACAATAATGAACTTTAGTGAATGTGTTTAAGGATTATAAATATCAAAGCAGCTAATATATCAAAATAGAAAAATACATAAATCAAAATATTATAACAATTTACATGAAGACAATCTCATTAGTACTTAAAATATATGGATTAATTAAATATACACAGTGAGTTATCGTACTCAAGGGGTTAAGTTATCGTATTCAAGGGATTAAATTCCTAAGAATCCCTAAGGGTTGACTCACCAGAAGCAACATGACTCTAATGACGATAACCATATCCACTCCTTTAGCCACTGCCATAGCCATGACCATATCCACCATGACCATATCCACTTCCATAGCCGTTGCCGTATCCATGTCCATAGCCGTTGCCGTATCCATGACCATGTCCACCATAGCCATGACCATGTCCACTGTAGCCATTGCCATGACCATAGTATCTACCTCCGTGTCCACCGTGGCTACTGCTTTGTCCACTGTTGCCACTTCCATGACCATAGTATCTACCTCCGTGTCCACCGTGGCTACTGCTTTGTCCACTGTTGCCACTTCCATGACCATAGTATCTACCTCCGTGTCCACCGTGGCTACTGCTTTGTCCACTGTTGCCACTTCCATGACCATAATATCTACCTCCGTGTCCACCGTGGCTACTACCTTGTCCACTGTTGCCACTTCCATGACCATGGTATCTACCTCCGTGTCCACCGTGTCCACCGTGTCCACCGTACCTTGAGGTTGAGGTGTCAGCGTGGGCCAGGGTGACCACCAGCAGGCCAGCCACCACCACCATCATCATCTTCATCTGTAACATCAAACTCAGGCTTAATGACGGGTCACACCACAACTTCCATCATATTAACGGAATGGAAATATTTCTACTTCATACACATAATGTTTCGATATACTGTAGGCATAGGAAAATATACATAGAGACTACTGGTATCCCTCCATTAGGTAATTTATGCACATCATTACTATTGGCTTGTCTTAACACAGCATCACCACCACCAACTGGTTTCAACACAGCATCAACTCCAGTTAATCTCACTACAGCAACACAACCAGTCAGACTCCACACAGCAGCTGTTCCCTGACTCCCTCAATAACAGCGGCTGTATCACTCACAGTTTGGGAGATCATGTTGGCTCACTACAGGTGTCCTACTGCCAGTAAGTCACAGCAGACAATGTCCATCATCACTCCCCACCACACCTTATATACCGTCAACACACCTCAGTGTCCCTGGCCGTCACCACTAATGACTGACACACACAGGCAACTCTCAACATTTCGAATACATGCTTGTGTGATTTTTAGTTTTAATGATCATAGGAAAGTGACCTTGATAACAGTGGAAGCGTTGACCTGTGGTACACCTGATGTCGTGTGATCGTTAGTGTTCTTACCTGAGTATAATCAATATGTAAAATAATCCCATGGAGGCGGCCTGGAGAGAGTTGAAATCTTGGTGATAGTAATGTCTGAAAATGGAACTCAGAAGTATATGAATGTACAGATATAGAGTATAAATGTACATAACTTTTTCTCTCGTTACTATCTGTATGTAATTTACTTTTATTATTAGGTGATGCTAAACGTAACCAAAAAAAACGTTTTTATAGATATCGTAGAATTAAAGCATGCAGACATTTTGGAGTACGTTATTATAACTACGTGAAATAAAATAGAACATCAACCAAGCAAAGTATAGTAACCCTTTCGCTGCATTTCCCACACTTGCCATTTTATTCTGGTTCCTGCCAGACGATTTTATTTAGCTTAGGGTAACCTCCCGCGGCCAAATGGTTAATGTGTGTGTGTGTGTGTGTGTGTGTGTGTGTGTGTGTGTTCTACTTCAGACATTTTATAATAATATGTGAGTCAATTGGACAATTATTAATAACACCGACAATGTTACAATATAAACACGGTAACATTATTGAAAACGGAATGCCGTGCTGCTAGAAGACTGTTTGAGAGCTTTATGGGTTAGAATACCGTAAGACACCCATATTCATACTTACATAGGGCGGCAAACCTCAGGTTTGCCGGAGTCGCAGAAAAAGCCACTGGAACTGGGAGTTATCCGAACGCAAAATTTCACGCCTGCTGAATGACCATTTTAAACTTCCTGAAGTACGGTTTGACCGTGTTCTACGCGTCGGGAAACCAACTCCTCCCGCCCCAGCGACATCATCACAAAATTCTTATCCCCCTCTGACCGTGACAATGTGTTTTATCAACGCAGTGAGCTGAAAGGCACCACTATCTTCGTCAACGAGGATCTCTGCCCAGGTACGACTAAAGCCCGCCTACAGCAAATGGACCAGTTTAAAGAAGCCAGGACATAAGGGAAACACGTGACTTTCAGTCATAAAACCCTTGTTGTGAGGGATCGGGCAAGTGGACACCCGTCCACTCACCAACTCGCTGTACCAACCCCCTCCCCACTGAGGGGGAAACAGCCATTGTTGCTATCACCTGTTGAGTTCCCCCCCTCCCCATGCAGGCCAATTCGAGTGCTACACGTCTACCTTCTGTGGTGGAAACCAGCAACCCTCAAAACCAAGTGACAGGCGCCCCTCCCACTCAATCTTGGAATCACCCTCAACAGTACCGGTCATCTTAATTCTGTTGCTTGTAGCACTTGTGAGTAAGTTACCCTCCCACTATTATAATTTTCTTAGATCTTCCCTTTTCACACCTCAGTGACCCTGAGTTTTTACTGTTCCTTTATCAGTATCAATGTTCCTGCAATGATGATGCTAGGTCATTCCCTTAGATAACAATAAAAATAATAATAATAATAATAATAATATACGGCTTATTAATAGAGTTGCAGCCTGTGGCTGAAAATCAACTTTTGCTGCGTGTCCGACCGTGGTGGGGGACTTCAGGCAGGAGGTGGCGATGACGAGGATGGCAGTGTCCACTGCCAAACCTGTTAGTGCTTGGTGGTGGAGGTCACTAATGATGGTATTTCCAGGGTGGAGAGAGTTGATGTAGCTGGAGTAGTCTGCACTGAGCATGATTCTGCAGGTCTTTTCTGTACCTTTCTAGCCGACGTTGTTGGTGCGGACTTGAGAAGACGACCAGGCTGGTGACGCATACGATAGTTTGGGGAGAATAAATGCGTTCTAGATAGTCCTCAGCTCTGGCGTGGGTATCCCAAGTGACCTAAGTCGTCGTAGCATGTAGAGTCGGTACGAGGCTGCCTTGATTCTGTTGTTTACATGGGCCTTCCAGTCCAGTTTGTCGTCAATGTGCTAGATCGTATGTGTTACACCCCCTTTACCCATGGTGTCGACACAATACTCCCTCATATCGATCCTGATGCCTTTCTACAAAACTCACTGGGTTACACCAACCCCAGCTGTAACTATTACTCTCCTGACTCTCCTGGGTTTAGTTGTAGTCTTCTACTACCTCATTCCTTCTCCTTGATTAGCCATAACATCAGAAGTATTCCCCTTCATCTAGATACCTTTTTAGATCAGTGCATATCTTCTATTCCCTAAAAATTTGATGTACTTTGGTTCTGTGAGACCAAACTCACTAACGATATTGGACATTTGTATAACATTCCTAATTATAATAGACACTGCGTCAACACGTCACGAGACAGTAGTGGTGTCGCCCTATATGTTGATATCAAGTATAACACTTCTGTAAGAGATGATTTAAAGGTCCAGAGTATACATGAAAGTGTTTTCACTGAATTGTAGAACGACATACGAAATATCCGGTAGTAGAGTAATCTACAGAAGAAATTTCACACCAATGTAAGAAATTTTCTGATAAATTTTCGGAGTTTTTTCTCATCATAAGTCCAGAGAGGAAATTTGCTACATTACAGGATATTTCCAACTCATCTATTTCGAATTAGAAGAGACACCAGTGATGACCTTCACACCATTCTAAGCTCGTTCAGTACTATAATCAAAACCCTACTAGGAGTTAGTGGTTCTCAAACTTTGGGGTAATTTACTCAACTGGGGTAAACACTACATTTTGGTTCTGGGGGGTAATGTGCTCACAAAATGGTGGGGTAAACCCCTGCATTTAACACTTATAACACTTTACGTTTGCCAAGGTTTGGCAACTCGTGAAGTATTCGCTTCACTATAGATTAAGTCTATAACAGCACTGTAACTGTAGCACTATTATTGATTTTTGTATAAGACAGACTAGAATTGTACACTTGTGTTTTGTATAATACACTTTATTGGAGGAGTAAAATTTGTAAGTACATTTGTAAGCTTGTGTTTTGTATATTAAACTTTATTGAATAGAATTTAGGAGTAAAATTTATAAGTACATTAATTTTATAGACTTGTGCTTTGTATAATAAACTTTATTGAATAAAAAGTAAGGAGCAAAATTTACGTTGGGGTAATTCGATCCTGTCAGACTCTAAATAGGGGTAACACTGGAAAAAAGTTTAAGAACCACTGCACTAGACCATGACGTGGCACCCCTGACATGATTTTTGCTGCCCATCAGATACTGGAAAAGTGCAGAGAACAGCATCGTGACTTGTACATGGCCTTCATCAACCTTACCAAGGCCTTCGACTCGGTCAACAGGAAAGTCCTCTGGTGGACCCTTAGCCGTTTTGGCTGTCCACCAAAATTCAATGCCATTGTGAGGCAACTCCACGATGGCATAAACGGCAGTGTCCTGCACAATGGCACCCAGTCTGAGTTATTCCACATCTAAACGGGTGTAAAACAAAGATGTGTACTGACACCAACTCTCTTTTCTATTTTCTTGGTTGCCTTCCTTACTCGTGCCAGTGCCAATTTAGTCGGCGGGGTGAACATCGAGTACCGGATGAAGGGACTTTTCAACATAAGACATCTCCAGGCAGGCGCAAAGGTGCCGGAAGCTTCCATTTATGAAGTGCAGTATGCAGACGACCTCACCCTTGTCGCGGCCTACAGGAAATCCTGAACACCTATGCACATGTGTATGCACATGTCGGCCTTGAGGTGAATGTATGTAAGACTCAGATTCTCTTTCAACCTGCACCAAATTCAACCACATCTCCACCATTCATCCAGCTTAACGGTACTACCCTCTCTAATGTTACCCACTTTCAGTATCTCGGCTCCCACCTGTCCACCACCGCGGACATCGATGAAGAGATTCAACATCGGATCAGATGTGCATCACAAGCCTTTGGCAGACTCTGTACCCGTGTCTTCAGCTGTAGGCAGCTGAAATTATCTACAAAGTTACACGTATACCGAGGCCGTAGTACACAGTGGGTTGTGTACATAACTATTACCAAACAGGAGAATATATTAGTATGTCATATGAATCAGACACAAAGGTATTAAATTCATTGATACACAGTCACTTAATTTTTTTTCAATTAATTTTTTATTATTTTACAAGTATTTTATATCATTCGAAGACTACCACTTTTAGACACAGGTAATTTCAGATAATTATGTGAAAGTTAGGCAAAAAATATGTCAGCTGTTACAAGAAGTGTGACACAGATGTTAGTAATGTGTTTAGGAACATATTATACTACTGGGGTGAGATAGAAGGTAAAATATGACAAACTTTTGTTTGTGTGAATTACTTTTTACTCGTTGTCAGTGTGCCATACCTCCTTTTACCCATCTTACTTACATAATGTCACTTCTTTCGGTAAGAGAAACAGCAATAAAAATTGTATTCATAATTTATTGAGACGAGTCCTGGTGGCCTCCCTAACTCATCTGTGAAAGACACAAACAAGCAATTAGAGGAAGAGAAGCTAATATTATTCTTATGGTCTGACAATAATGAACTTTAGTGAATGTGTTTAAGGATTATAAATATCAAAGCAGCTAATATATCAAAATAGAAAAATACATAAATTAAAATATTATAACAATTTACATGAAGACAATCTCATTAGTACTTAAAATATATGGATTAATTAAATGTACACAGTGAGTTATCGTACTCAAGGGGTTAAGTTAACGTATTCACGGGATTAAATTCCTAAGAATTCCTAAGGGTTGACTCACCAGAAGCAACATGACTCTAATGACGATAACCATATCCACTCCTTTAGCCACTGCCGTAGCCATGACCATATCCACCATGACCATATCCACTTCCATAGCCGTTGCCGTATCCATGTCCATAGCCGTTGCCGTATCCATGACCATGTCCACCATAGCCATGACCATGTCCACTGTAG